GGGGGGGGGGGGGGGGTACCTTAACTGGGCAGAAACACCCAGAGTCCTTTTATTCAAATGTTCTTCATTCCATGAGTAGCTAGAAGCATCTACAGCACTTTTTGGATCTCTTGCTACAAATGTGAAGTAAGGGAGGAAAAAGGGTGGCAACTTCAGGTGTCCTCGAGTTACTACACAGTTAATCCAAAATTATTTCATCTTTCTGTCACCTAATTCAACAGTTTTATGACCTGGTAAAACTATTTATGTCTGGACCATAGTCTGTAATACTCCAAAATCAGAGAATGTTTCCTAAGCAGTGATAGACTAAGATGCAGAAACTATTGAATCCTGCTTTTCTTTCAGTTTAATATTTTTTTGCTTTAGCCCAGTGGTTGTCAAATATAATCCCGGGACCAGCAACATCACCTGGGAACTTGTTACAAACATTTCCTCAGCTGTACTATCTTCAAGAGCCCTATCAATCATTTATTTTGAAAGAAGCAGACTGAGTAGGGACTAGCAATTGATTGTACTCACCATTCTGGACTTAGAAGGCCAGTGCAAGTTACAGTGTGGTCCTGTCAACCAACTAGTAATGACTCTTTTTCTTTCTTTGCAATCAAGGGAAAATTTAAACATAGCTTAAGAGCATAGTCAAGTCACCTATAAATGTAGATTGATGCATTACCATATGAAATGTACAAATTAGAAATCTTTTTATGAGGTTTGTTTCAGGGAATTACATGGATCAAATCTCAGCTCAGAATATTTGTTCTTAATCCTTAGAATTTGGCTATAAAATCTGTCTTCATAACAGGATTATATGATAAGCATGGAGTACAGAAATGTGTTTCCTTATCTTTGTAGGTATGCCTGGACTGTTGCCCAGTGTAAGATCTGTGCAAGCCATATTGGATGGAAATTTACAGCCACCAAAAAAGACATGTCACCTCAAAAATTTTGGGGTTTAACTCGATCTGCTCTGTTGCCTACGATTCCAGACACTGAAGATGAAATAAGCCCAGACAAAGTAATACTTTGCTTGTAAATAGATAGGGTAGGGATAAAGTTATCTAACAAATTGGTATTCTAAAATCAGATTTATTGCCCCTGATACATACTTAAGTAAACAGCAACATTACATGGAGGGTTGCAGTTTCTTAGTCAAGCTATAGTTGAAGATTTAAGTTAATCTTTGGAAGTAATGAGATTGTTTCCTGTGCAGAACGTATTTTAAATTCCCATAATGTGAAATTGATCATTTGATCCTGGGACAGCATATTTGCACTAGTGCTCCAAATATTGAAAGTTCTGAGAGCTCAGGTGCCAAGTACAGTACATGTTCTTTTAAGAGGCAAGACAATGTATATTATTTTAAAAGGGCTTTGTTCCTTTCAATTTTCTTTAGCTTCTCTGAGTATTGATTTGTAAATTTTGAAAATATTAAAGAGCCCAAAAATAAGGTTTTCATTTCCTTTATCTGTTAGTGAATAATAGTATTTTGTGTATTTGTTTAGTATTTGTTTGAACTACAACCCCAGTTATTCTGTTCCATGCAAAAGCTATATTTTGAAACTTAAGTTTAATTTGAACCTCAGCAATTACTGTCGGGCAGAAATGCCAAAACATGCCTCTTTCATAGAGACTAGAAATGATACTTTATTTTGTGGGCCATTCAGTTCAATGTAAATTGAAGAAAATTTGTAAGTAAATAAGAGCAAAACTAAATTATACATGTTCTTTGTTTAAATTATGTAAAATATCTACTCAAGCAAATAATTTAGGTATAAGAAATAAGATCAAGTTCTAGATAGACTGCATTGCCACCTACCTCTTTGCTTACGTATTCAAGGGTTTAGTGCGTCCTTTCACATTTGTGTAATTAACTTTGATTTTATGTATAGTCCTTCACTGCTTTACATAACTTAAGCAGGAAAAGTTAACCTATAGGATGAGGCCAGAAACAGACTGTTAAAATTTCTTTTGTTTTTTTTTTAACCAAACATGGAATGGTTTTGATTGCCTTGACTGAAATCATCTATTGAATATCATGAAAACAGAATAAATGAAAAACAACTTAAGAATGCTGTTGTTTAGGATCTGCCCCTGCCTTATTCAGTATTTTCAAGGAAGGGTAGTTATGAAGTGTGCTGTATACAATGTCATTTTTTTTTTTCCCTAAACTCCACTTTCTTACTAATAATCTTGGGTTTGTAAGACTTCACTGGTTGTTCATATGTTTTAATTGCACTAAAACTTACTCTACTAACTGGATTCCAGGGACTTCTTTTCAGTAGCATAGTGCCTCTCTTTAGATTGAAATTTAAACCAGCTGCAGTGAGGAAGCATTGCTTTTACCTTTGCCCCGGAAAGACGTTATCTCAGAATTTTTACCTTGTTTACTAATACTTGCAAATAAATCTTCTGATATGTAAAAACATGCATATAATACTATTTAAAAGGTTTTTTACACAGGACAAAGCCAGGCTGTGGAAACTCCTTACACAGGACAGTAGGAATTCTGTGATGTTGGGTCCAAATATGTATTTTAGTAGTATTTAATATTTCAATATATTATTTTATAACACGTTCAATTACTGACCTGGGTGTAGTTTTTTCTGAGGCTCCCTCTCTTGGAACATAATCCCTGTACACTGTTTGTCACACTTCCTTTTAGTTGGGTTTCAATAGAAATATTATGCTTTGCAAACTTGTTTTATCAAGTCCAAAACCGCTTTTTGCCCACAGAGTACAAATGTTTGAATATAGCAGCTGAAATAAACAATACTTTGTGCTCTGTATCTGTTTACCAAATGAAATCATTCAGGGCTCAATCTTTAAAGAGAAAATATAGTAATGTAAGCCTTATCTTTTAATTAGTAAAGGAAATAACATTTACTTCAGTGAGACAGGAGTATTATCACTATATATAAGGCACCTGAAATATACTAACAAATAACACATAAACACATTTGTCTTCCAATACCAAAGGAAATGTTTTATTAAAATAATAAGCTCAAGAGTACTGCTCAAGTTAAGTCCATAACTAACTTTCCCAGGCTTTGCATGCATAGTTAAGGAAGTCACTATGGCAGAAAAAATTATCAACTACCTACTAAAACTGAGCTTGCTAAAACAAACCTGTATGTATGAATGCCAGCCACCTGGGACACATTTAGTGTTCATTTTACACAGGATATTTTATGGATGGAAATGTGTCAACTATTTTCCTATTTTCTTTTTAGGCACAAGTTTATTGGAATTTAGATAAGAGCTGACATTTATAGACAATCGTAAAAAAACCCAGTTATTTCAATTTCAAACATTAATAAACATCTTTTTCTTCAACACAGTTACCACTTTTTAGGATCTTAGTACTGCCCTATGCAAAAAAATAAAAATTTTTAAAAATCTAAACACATTAAGATAGGAGAAACCAACTGTACTTTTCTCAATGGGAACTATTCAAAAGAATAAGGTTCATGAGAATAAGGTTCACGATATAAATCAGATTAAGAAGAGGTAGACTTCAATTTAGTGCCTGAATTATAATTACATTTCACAAAATAAGACCTTTATTCTTCTAAAGAAATCCTCCAAGTTGGCTTTTATTCTGCTGTAGTTTCTTAAAATCTCACTGGGGGGGGGGGGGGAAAAGGGTTCCAAAAAAACCCCCCAAGTTGGGTTTTTTTTCGTTTTTTTTTCTTAAAATCCCGCGGGGGGGGGGGGGGGAATTAGGCTTACCAAAAATCCTCCACTTCTTCATAACCCGCTCCCATCAGTTTTAGGTCTTCTTTATGTAACTTAAGAGTTCATCTTTTTCCATTTGGTAACCACTTTTTTTCCACTGTTCTCGCAACTGTTGTAATAGAGCCCCAATTTCTTTTCCTGAAGAAATGCCCACTTTTCTGATATCATGGCCACTTACAGGAAACGGAGGGATGGACCACTGCTGCATTTCCTTTAGAAGACAGTGCTCTCCTTGGTACTTCAGTAGTTCACATACACGAGTGATCGCATCAGGTTCCCTAGACTAAGTGTCAAAATCAAACATTTAGCTGCATCACACTTTAGAACACTCACTTGTGATCTTATCCAAAAATTCAAATACTAAATGCTCAGTATGAAATTTTTCATTTAACATAAGTAAAATCCACAGAATCAACTGAAAGTTCTATAATTAATGATGATTTATATTCTGACCGAGCCTCATACATACTTACGTCTATAATGAAGTCTTGATAGGGTTTCAGTGGTTCTGAACTATCTGTTGCTTTAATTAAATCTTTCCTATTTTTAACTATAAATAAGCCAAGGTTTTTCTCTTCTTTTGAAATCTTCAACCTCAAATCCAATTTTATGACATCATCCTGTACTTTGAATAATGAGGCCAAAAGAGTCATTGCCTTTGGTGAAAAACCTTCAACATTTTTACTGACTTTGTTAAATTCTTCTAAACTTGCATTAGCGGGTAAACCTGTAGGGACAAAAGTATTTTTCACCTGTTTTTAGTGAGGGGGCAAAACACTCATATCCTAAACCAATCACTGATTTAGTATACAGAAATGCCCTGTCACTAGGACTCATCGTGATGCTCCATCTTACAGGTGAACCAGTGATACATTATTGCTGTTCTCTCCAATGTAACTCTTTAAGCCTCGAGGAAGCTCCTGAAATGTTGTTTCCATTAACAAACTGTATCAGGAGGTCCAGAGTCAGTGGTGATGGTATCAGATTCACAAGGGATATGTCTTCCAATCCCAAACTCCTGATTTCCCACTGATATCCTATCATAAAACCCACCCACCTCATTCAATATTTTTATGTCTTTATTTAAAATATACACAAGTTTCCTGAAGTGTGATAAACTACATAACCCTATCCTTTGTGAATATTAATTATAACATTAATTGAACAATTTCTGTGGATAAGTCTCTCTTCTAAAAGTGTTTCACATATATTCACTCACTGAATCCTCTTAGCCCTTCTATTAGATGTTATTAACTTCAAACCCCTTTTTGAGATCAGAAACTAACCCAAGCCACAAAGCTGATAAGTGGCAGAGCCTCATTCAAGCCCAGGTCTGTCTTCCAGAGGCCACTCTGTATTACTACACTATGCTGTCTTTGAGCTGTTCCCTTCCCATAACAAAACTGTCCTACTCTACTCTCAAGGTTTACCTTATTTTAAAATATTCTATTTCTCCATTAAGCATAATTCAACCAAATGAGTCAAAAATTATTTCCTATGAAATTTTAAACTAGATGTTTCATTGCCAAGAATTTAAACATTTTATAACTTTCTCTCACCTACATAAGGAGCCACATCAAGTTCATACATAAGGTGAATCAAATGATTTACATGGTTACCAACAAGAATTTTTTTCAGTTCCACCCAAATCCTCTCTCCTGATATTCCAGCCAAGCATTTTGCATTTTCTGCAATTGCTTCCAAAGTCTCAGGATCATGGTCACCAGGTTTGTCTACAATTCTCCCATAAAACCTACAAGACAAAATCCTCACAATGCATTACCTCTTTATTGACATATCACCAGAAAAATCTGTTCTTCATTTTTAGTGGTATTATCCCCATACACTTATTTAATGAAAAATTACATAGAATTAGTTAGGTCTAGGAAGTATCTTGAAAATCATCAAGTTGATTCTATACCTCTTTTTTTCCAGATGGGAAAACCCAAGATCTAATAAAATATAAATAACCTTCTTCAGGTTAGCAAGAGGTAGAACCCCAAGGTCTGAATTTCACTTCCAGATCACTGACTGAGATGCTCACCAGGGCCACCAAATTCAGTTCCTGAACTGGCAACTTACAGCAGGTGAATGAAACAGCATTATTGTAAAGGCACCAAAACAAGACCGGAGTGTCATACGGGAGCTGTCTTAATCCCTCAAAGCTTGCCTGTCTCAACAGATGAATACTTTTAATGAAGAGCTTCAAATATAACAAATCTAAGTTGTAGAAACTGGAGTGTATTTCATGGAATCTCAGAATTGGAAGCCCTTAAAGTAAGAGTACCTCTGTTCTACCACTAATTCCCTTAAAATTTAATTCATTCATTTCCTAAATTAAATGGTAGAAACTGGAGTGTATTTCATGGAATCTCAGAATTGGAAGCCCTTAAAGTAAGAGTACCTCAGTTCTACCACTAATTCCCTTAAAATTTAATTCATTCATTTCCTAAATTAAATGGTAAGTAACTATAGCTAAGTCTTGACCTATGTTATTTGTACAAGGAGACTGTTTGCATTTGCAAGTTTAACTCAAGTTTAGAGAAACAGCATTTAGCAACAAAATATTTATGATATTTTCTCAGTGATCCCAACCAGTGAAAAATATATTACTGTAAGAAAACTAGCTGGTTAGGATAGTTTTTTTTAAAAGGTTAGGGTTTGGAGTTTAAAAAAAATCACTGCTACCCACAACGCCGTCCATGCATTTCATACTTACCAAATTTATCCAAGTTTAAGTATGTCTTTATGCAAGGAGTCTTCAAAAAGTTCACAAAAAATGCATATTATGAAAAAACTATGCATGGATTGCAAAAGTTTTTTCAACTACAATAAACTCATACTAACTTGTTATAACATGTCTGAACAGGATCTAGTTCGAGCACTAAGAAGGAATAAGACATGAATTTGAAAAAAAACCCTATCACAGCAACATGAATTCCACTAAAATTATAGCAAGAACAAATATCAAATTTATAGTGAAGCTTGGATGGAATCAAGTGAAGCTTGATTGATGGAATATAGTGAAACTTGGTGAAATCACTGATACTTTAGAAAAGTTTATGGGGACAATGTCCTCAAGAAATCAGCAGTTTACAAACATAACTCATTTTAAGAAGGGACAAGACTGTTGAAGATGAAGCCTGCCATGGTAGACCGTCCAGATCAACTTGCGAGGAAAAAAAATTAATCTTGTTCATACCCTAATTGAAGAGGAACAACAACTATAATAGATCTGCAACATAACCAGTGCCATTTTAGACAAGCCCAAGTACAAAATGGCACCATCCACCTCCTCCCCTCCCCTCCCCTCCGCCGTTCTCTTTTACAAGAAGCCTCATGGTTTCGGTGAAAATGAAACTTTCGGTGTTTCTGCATGCGCAGAACTCTCCATTCCCATGACCTAACTCAATCCCCAACCCAGAATTACATCACCCAGCTCTTGATGCCAACGTACCTATATAAGCTCTACCACCCCCCACACCTAGTGCTGTGCACCATTTTCAGGGCAGCCCCAGGCTGTCCATTTTGAGTACAGTTTAGCAGATTTCTTTAATAAAGCTTGAATGGTACCCAGCATTGCAGCTCACTTTCTTTCAAATTAATGGTAGAAACAAAGGCAAAAACCATAAACATCTCAATTGGTTCAGCTTATACAATTGACTGATAAATTAAAGTTGAGCAAACTTTTTGCTCAATGGGTGATAAAACTGTTGCGTCCAGATCAGCTACAGACTAGAGCAGAGCTTTCAGTGGAAATTTTAAATAAGTGAGATCAAGATCCTGGAGCATTCCTTCAAAGAAATGCAACAGGAGATGAAACATGGTTTTACCAGTTCCATCTTCAAGACAAAGCACAGACAAAGCCATGGCTACCAAGAGAAGGAAGTGGACCAGTCAAAGCAAAGGGACCGCTCAAGAGCAAAGGTCATGGCAAGATGTTTGGGATGCTCAAGGCACTTTGTTTGCTGACTTTCAGGAGGGCCAAAGAACAATAACATTTGCTTATAATGAGAGTGTTCTGAGAAACCAAAGCTTCAGGAAAAAAATGCCTAGGAAAGCTTTCTCAGAGAGTCCTTCACTACAACAATGTTCCTGCTCATTCCTCTCATCAAACAAGGGTAATTTTGCGAGAGTTTCTATGGGAAATCATTAGGTACCCAACTTACAGTCTTGATTTGGCTCGTTCTGACTTCTTTTCGTTTTCTAATCTTAAAAAATGTTTAAAGGGCACCTTTTTTTCTTCAGTTAATGTAAAAAAAGTCTGCTTTGACAGGGTTAAATTTCTAGGACCCTAAGTTCTTTAGGGATGGAATAAATGGCTGGTATCATTACTTACAAAATTGTCTTGAACCTGATGGAGTTTACATTGAGAAATAAAGTTTATATTTTTTATTTTTATCTTTTAATTCCATTTCTCCACAAACATTTTGAAGTCTCTCATACTTTGACTTTTTACTGGTCATATGAGTATAAAAAGGTATTTTCCTTTTACCAATATCATTTTGTTGTGAGGTGCCAGAGATTTCCCAGGACCACCTAAGACTGAAAGCCTTATGAAGGCAGACTTTCATTCACTCATTCCTATGTTCAAAACACCTAGCATAGTGCTAATGAATGGATAATGGAGGAAATATCATTCAATGAAAAAGAAAAATGGTATTTTTAAAAAATGACTTAAAGCTGAATTATAGAAAAAATCACACAGAATGGAATAAGTATTTGTATATTTGGGGAATAAAAATACAGTATAAAATATCTAAGTCATATCTCCTGAGTCATATGTTGCTAAGTCTTCACTGGAGACAGACATCTGTAATGTCACTATTTAGTACACTGACCTGCTATTTCACATGACCAGAATTGTGCTCTGGTGACATTAAAAACTAACATTTTTTATTTTTAAAATTAACTTTAAAAATTCTTACCTGAAATATCTTAAAATTCGAAGATAATCTTCTTGTATTCTCTGTTTAGCATGTCCAACAAATCTAACTTTCTTATTTTTTAAATCTTCATAACCATTAAAGTAGTCAAATAAAGTACCATCAAAACCTGTTCATTAGAAAGAGGAAATAACCACTAGTAAATAAGAATTTGAAAACACAAGAAAATCAGCAAAATCTTTCACAAACAGTAAAAATTCAACAAGTTGAAGAGTTATGAAATTAAAATATATATTAATTGTATTCACATATATCAACTATCAAACAGCAGACAACAGAATAAGAGGCTGCATTTACAATGACAACTAAAAAGATAATACATCCGAGAATAAACTGTACAAGAAATATGCAAGACCTGTATAAAGTAGGATGGAGACAAGACACTAGATAAGGTGGCTTTAAAGTTAATATGGAAAGTAAACAAGAATAACCAAAAATAAAGGAATAGCAGAAGAAACCATGGGAAAATATTTTATAATCCTGGAATGGGGGAGACCTTTCAAGCTCTAATTACCAAGAAAACAAAACACACAACCAAGAGTCTTCAAAGAAATAATTAATAAATTGAACTACATAAAAAATCAAAAACGCCTGCATGGCAAAAAAACTACCATCATGCATAAAGTTATAAATGACATTCTGGGAAAATTATAAGTCTTTATCACTGAGATAAATGGATAATTTCCATAATACATAAGAGCTCTTATAAATTTAAAAACCAGGGCCCAGGGCATGGAGCCAGGGACTGGATTCCCCACCCACAACCAGGCACACAACCAGCACCAAGAAGCATGCCAAAAAACATCACTTCCCTGTGGGTGGCCTACCACAGCCACCACAGTAACCATGGCTGCCAGGAAAGTGGCTAGACGTCATAACCACCATGCAGATGGTCCACCAGCCACTGGAGTGCATTGACACAAGGATAGTCACCAGCAGAGACCAAAGAAAAGAATAGGATGTCTCTCTCCACAAAGCCCATTACAGAATGACAGAAGCAGCATCTGATCTGTGACAATACTGGGGGACCTGACACACCTTTCAGCACTGGACAGATTATCTACGCAACAAATCAACTAAATAACCATTACTCTTCCAGAGGGAGAGAAGAAATCTAGGGTTATCAGTGGTGCGAGGGGGGAGGGAGAGATTGGACAAGGGGCATAAAGAATAAGTACAATTTGTAACGATATACATACTAGTAATATTGATTTGATCAACATGTCAACATTGAATCCCAAAAATATATATAATCAATTATGTTTCAATAAGAATAAATTTAAAATAAAAAGAAAAAATAAATTTAAAATAAAAAGAAAAAATAAATTTAAAAACCATACAAATAGAAAAATGGGCTAAAAATATATAAAGGAAA